GCAGATTGTTGGGAATCTGCTTACTGCATCATTTTGGTGGGTGTGCTTTTTTGCGACCATGCAAGGCAACGCAATGTCTCCACTGTACTCAAGGGCAAATGGCCCTCATGAACCACGCAGCAAGGATGTCTTCACATCTCAGCGTCAGCGGGCACGGGACGATTTGAAGAAGATCTCAATGAGCCCACCGCGACTTTCTCCACCCACAAGAGCTCACCACAGGTTTTGCAGCGGCTTCGCTTCTGATAACCATTCGGGTCTGGAACACGTGCTGGCTTGTCCCTGCAGAAGCCAAGATTGGGCCAGTCTCACTGCAATGAGGACTTGGCGGAGATGGTGATCGCGGGGTTGAAACCAAATCCCAATGACTCTCCTGTCCATCATCCTGTCCTGCACTGTCCAGGTGGTCAAGAAAGTGCCAAATGTCCTTCCTCTCGTCCTTTTCCATGGTTTTGATGAGAAGTTTGACCAGCAAAGATTTTGGCCACGTCCAAATGGAGAGGATCCACAAGGCAGCCACAAAGCCAGCTCCCATTGCTGCTGCAGCTGCACTCATGTGGGGAGTGGTGCTCAAGAACAGAAATCCACCCTGTCAAATGAGCACCTGCCAGCAAAAAATTGATCCCAAATATTGCAGTGGTTCCCTTCTGTGTGTACTGTCCAAGTCCCTTTTCATGTCTACCTATCCGAAGGCTTTGCTGGCCTGCTTGCTTGTTTTGCAGTTGCGCCAGCCGGATATACCCCTGGCTCCAAAGGGCACAGGCTTGGTTTTTGTCTTTGCCAGGCTTTTGCTGTTTCCACCTGTGTGAGGGTTCTGTTTGGATCCAAATCTATTCTCCCGACGGGCAGGCACACCTCTTGGCCGAGCTGCCCTTTGTCTTCCCTCCGGTCTGCTTTTGCTTTTTTTCCGGGCTGACCTCCTGGAAAGTCTGCTTGTTCCTGTCTCTTGCCTTCCTCACTGTTTTGTTTGCTTTGCTCCGGCTGATTGTCTGGTTCAGCCAGGCTCCAAAGCTGTTTTGGATACTTGCGGGGCATTTCAGACTGTGATTGAGCCAGCGCAAAATGACAATAACATGTCCTTCCCCATGCCATCTGCTTACTGCAGGTGGTCTCATGCTAAGCGCTAATTTAGTGTACGGACTCCTTCAGAAAGAACGTGTGTCCCTAATTGAAGAAAAGGTTGCTGAAGTGGAATTGTTTTCCTTTACCTAACAACCAACATCCTGCACTATACCAAGTGTCTCAACCATTGGAAAGGTCCTGCGCGGGGCTTTTCATCTACATGTTTAGCGGGTTTCCACAAAGAGCTTCCAATGGTTGAGAATTGAAATCATTTGAGACTGCAAGAGGCGCATGAGACCTTTAAATCTTGGGGCACACCAGCCCAAGGCTGGTGTAAGCAGAACTTAGATCTGCTTACTGCAGCCCTAGGGTAAGGGGCGCTCCTATATGGATGCAAATAAAGCGGGCGCAATGATCCAGAAAGGATGTTTTGTTGGATCTGGTGGAAAAGTACTTAAACTAGGCTCGTTTCGCTTTACCGTTTAACAAAAACTTGCCAGCCAGAAGAATCTAGCCCATCATGTCCTAATGGTCTCAACCATTGGAAAGGTCGCGCGCGGGGTTTTTCATCTACATGTTCACCAGGTTTCCAGAAAGAGCTTCCAATGGTTGAGAATTGAAATCATTGAGACTGCAAGAAGCGCGTGAGATCTTTAAATCTGGTGGCACACCAGCCCAAAGCTGGTGTAAGCAGAACATAGATCTGCTTACTGCAGCCCTAGGCTAAGGGGCGCTTCTATATGGATGCAAATAGAGCGGGTGGAACTACCAGAAAGGATGTTTTGTTGGATCTGGTGGAAAAGTGCTTAAACTAGGCTCGTTTTGCTTTACCGTTTAACACAGCAAACATTTGCCAGAAAAAGGTTCTAGCCCGTCATGTCCTAATGGTCTCAACCATTGGAAAGATCGCCTTGGCGGCTTTTCATCTACATGGTTGGGGCAGCAAGGGGTTCCAGTAAATTCCAATGGTTGAGGCTTGGCAATCATGGACTCTGCAGGAAGCAGATTGTACTCTGCTTACTGCAGATGGTCCCAGGTTGACAGGCTGTGAAGCTGATACCTGTCCTCAACACCCCTGTCTCCTGTCGCATTGTTGTTCGCGTTGCGGGACATCTCGAGTCGAAGGGCTTCTTCATCATTCTCAAAGAAGAAGTCATCCACTGAAAGTTTGGGAAGGACACTCTTCAAGTGCTTGGTTAGCTCTGCATAGGCTTCCGTCATATCCCCAATACAATCCAAGATGTCTTTGCGCCACAGAACTTCAAACCTGGTTTGGCGCAAATCATGAGCCCCTTTTCCGGTCATAGCTGTCCCAAGGTTTCCCCCTTTCTACTGGTTAAGCTATCCCTGCCAACAAGAACAAAAGTCTGCTTACTGCCTGGCGAGATCCCCTCTGCAAACTTCTGAGGTATTTCCCAATAGTGCTTAATTAAGTCTGTTTGGGGAGGGCGCCCTCCAATCAGTAGAAAGAATCTGCTTACTGCAGCGGTCCACTTGATACATCATCATTCCTTTTTCTTAGATGGCTGAAACGTTGTTTTGCACACTTTCATGTTCAATCCAAGGAATGGCGGGGCCCCAAACTCTGCTAGTTCCCAGCGCGCCCTACAGCCCTCCAGTAAGCAGATAGACATCTGCTTACTGCAGTTGCCACCAAGAGGCTTGCGGTATCGGTTCACTGGAAGGCCCAGGTCTGAAGGTTTAGCTCTGAGAGTGATACATTCATACCCCTGCTTCTTGGCCTCCTCACAGATCAACTCGGACACAAACCCCTGTACATAACTATCAGCGGCGTCCGGCGCTCAAAGTTGAAGGTCATCCAGATTACAAGCAATATGGAATTCTCTGACTCTGCTTTCTCTAGGTTCCCAAGAGTAGAGTAGGATGTGCACATACTCCCACTGATGTCAAGGAATGCAGTCCGGATGGGGCACCTTAACTCAAGGGAAGTCACTCTACTTTGGACGTATGGCAGTGACTCACCAAAGAAAACCTCCCCAAAAGAAAGACTTCTCTGAGGGCAACGGAAAGGCACTTCTTGAGGTGACATGCGCAAAATGCCTCCGTGTTCTTCTTCGCTTTCTTCGCAATGGACAACCATTTGGGATTTTTTCCCCAAAGTCTTCTGCTTGACACTGCGCATTTGGTCTAAGTCCTCTGTGCCTATGAAATCCTCGATGTTCACATACTTACAACAAGAAGCCTCAGGCAAGACATCTTGCTGTGAAGCACGGGCTTTGCCATCTATCTCGCAGGTCCAAAGTGGTTCCTGGGCCACAACTGTGCACTGTTGTTAGCAGCTTGCACCTAGATCTGAATCTGCTTACTGCAGCCCGCCACCCCACACTCCCTTTGTCTCCCTTTATCTAATTGAGCGAGTGTCCCGGTCCAACTGGGGCAGCAACTACCCTGTTGTAAGCAGATTTCAACCTAAAGTGTAAAGCCTAGGCTGGAAACTGATTTGCATCCTAAAGCGGAATCTGTGGACCGAGTGGCTGAAAGTTCACCAATGCCAGCAGCATGCATCTTCCGGGCTGCATCCAAAAAGGCCAAAGCCCTTTCTGGGAAAACAGCTCCAGAAAACATAGATGAGGTCCCCAAACACTTTTGGCTCCAAAGAAGAGAGTCATTCATGCACATGACTGATAGCCTCTTTTGCCAACAACCTTGCCCAACCAAGGCAGCCGGTGGGTCGGACATGCCGCAAGTGCCACAGGGAACAGTAGATGTGAATCTAGAAAAAAAGACAGCTTACACCTACTTGTTTGTGACTGCACGTGTGAAACCTTTGCATGCTGCGTGTGACTCCAATTGATTCTCACCTGAAATCTCACCTCTACTTTTTCGATTTGAGCCCCTAGCTTGCCAGAGCACTCTGGAGGCACTGCAGTAAGCAGGATGAAAGCAAACAATGATCCATAATATGCCCCCAACTTGAACCTCTTCTGCTTACTGCAGACCCTTCTCCTTGACCACGCGCAAAGGCCCCTGAATCAAGTCGTTCTAAAACCCCCAACTTTCCCCAAAACCAGGCTCCAGTAAGCAGCAAATTTTCTGCCTGCTGGACGTCCTAGACTATAACTCAGGGATCATATCCTGAAAGACGCTGCTGACCATGCTCGGCCCCTCCAAGAGAAGATCGATTTGATCATCAAGGTGAAGGAAAGTGAAAAGGGCATTGAATGCGGCCCTGCTGGAAGATTTTGGAATCCAGGAGCAGAATCTTAAGACTTGTCCTTTCGTTTAGCTCAAGCGCTGATCAACCGCGCTGAGCGTGAGATTGCAGAGCGCCACTTCGGTGATAGTGTTTTTGTCACCGAACACGGTTCAGCTTGGCATAGTACGCGGGCATGCCACGGTGATTCAATTGCAAGAGCAGCTGCGTTGAGACGACACCCATGTCACATTTGTGCAGACAGGGAGTGACTGGCACGACCCTGTTAGAAGACCTCCGCCAGTTCCAGGAGGATCATGGTGCTGTGCCGAATGAAAGGCATCTAGCACCTTGCCCCTCGTGTTGGCTTGCATGCTTGCACCCAAGCCACGTCGGCACGTATCGATGTTGACCGATGGCCACTTCCCTCTCAAATCACCCTAGAAGGGTGGGTGTCACGCGTGCACTTCACATCGCTGCTGAAAAGGGGCTAGGACCTTGAGAGCTTCGCCTATCGCTGTTCACGAACCTTGTGTGAAGGGACCTGCCGGAACCTCTTTTTGGACCGCTCCAGTACACCTTGTTTTTGCTTCCTTAAATGTCGAGTTGACGATGTGAAGTTTTCCCTTTTCCATGCTTCTTTCTTCCTTTATGTATGCCCATCTACTGTGAATGCTAAGGGTCAATTAATTCAGTTTGAAGAAAAACTGGATGTGCAATGATGTGCACATGTCAGCCCTGACTGCAACTCTCCAGGAAAAACAAAGCACCAACATCAGCGCACCTGGAGGAGCCCAACAGTCCTCATCTTTGCCTTCTCTTGGCTGGACGGCACCTGCACAGTGGCACCAAACAGCGAAACAGGGTCACCTGTCGCGGCGTGTCACATGTCCGATTTGGTGTCCCAACTTATATAGATGGAAATCATTCGCCAACGGACGTGACAAACACCATAGGAGACCCAGATTTGATTTCACAACTAGGCAACCTGTGAACGTTCAAGAGCTTTTTTGACAAATTCCACCACTCAATCGAATCACGTACATTATGGGTAGATTTGCGCACAACGGGTTGAAACTTTGCAGCCTCTATGTTCCCAGTACCTCACCTGTACAAACCAAACGTAACTCTTCAAAGGAGCTGGTGCAACTCCTTTGCTTTGGCTTAGAGAGAAGCCATTTGCTCAGTAAAGCTACATGTGTCATCAGTTCCGGTAAAAACGGAAACAAAAAGAAACGTTTCAGTTGCGGCGTCGCCCTCAAGTCACCTCGGCCAAGACTCTGGCACATTTGCAAACATCTGAGAAAAGAAGGCGGTGAATCACCAGTGTCAGCTGTGACTCAGAGTCAGCTAGGACAACAGAAAGAACAAAGAGCAGCCATGCCTGCTCACTAGAAAGCACAATTATTTACTAATAAATGCTGGACAAGTTGAAGTGCCAACCAATGAATCGTGCTTGTTTGCCAATAGGTATCTTTCGTGCAAAGGCCTTTTAGAAGGCCCTCTCGGATTGAACTTCTTGCGTGTGCCCCTTCCCAAAAACGCGGGTATGAAAGCCGCAGCCTCCAGCAGCTTTGCTTGAAATTCCAGATTTGATGCGGTCCAAACTCCTGGTTGAGGCAAAGAAAGGAAGCCACCTGAATTGCCAGTATGGATGGTAGTGGTATGAGGTTGTCAAATCCAAGGCCTTCGAACATTCAACTGTACCTTGACCATGCTTGAAGACAAAGTATGTCAACGTGAGATCCAAAATCTACCAAGGTCTTGACTGTTGGAATGTATGTCTCTATATCCAGTACCGGTACACATACTTGTTGAATCTAATTTGGCCAGCAATGTGCGAACTTGTGCGAACTCAAATGCCTGGTGATTTAGCTCAAAAGATTTGCGCACGCGACATTGCAGTCGTCCTCTTCAACCACTGCTCGACATCCTCTTTGCCGTTGATCAACTGTGACAAAGCTACCGAATAAGCTGCACATGCGAAGGCCATGGTGCCTGCGCTGGATCAGGTTCATATCATAAACTTGGGAAGGTGGTCCAGACTTATCTGGCGGGAATTAAATCATTTGACTGCCCTCACAGAATCTTCGAAGAAGCTCGGAAGAACCATGATGCCGTCCGGGGTTCTAAGGCCAACAAACATCAACAAACACGAACAAAGTAATTCAATCTCTCAACACGTTGCTGATCTTTGCCATGCCACGATTCGCATGAGAGAGCTGCACATCCTCATTTGCCAGCTGCGCTGCTTTTTCCGGTGTCTTGGCTGCAACGGCCAGTGCTGGGCACCTGCCAAGCGAGCGCCAGCTCTTGTGTTTCAGCTCTTTTGCATCTTTCCAAGCAAGAGAAGCGCCATGTAGTCAACCCACACCATGCTGAAGAGCTGTCACCACAGGTGCCCACAGAATAGAAACCCAAGCACCATATGTGGAAGCAAAACAGCTGCCAACAAAAAAGAAAACCAAGTTGGTGCGAATACTCACACCAACTTGGCATGCTGTCAATGCATCTCGGTTTTGAACTCGTCAGCTCTAAATTGACATCCGAGCTGTGAATTGCAGGCCTTACCATTGCCCCGCAGCTCATCGACTTCTGATTCACCTCACAAAATCAACCCTTTGGACATGGAAGCAAAGCTCCGCAAAAGGAAGGATTGCTTGACTCTTTACAAAGGCAGTGATTGGTCACAACTTCCTCCAAGTTTTCCGAACTACCCTGTTGTCCCTGTGGCAACTCACAAACCACTTTGTAGCACCCAAAGAAACATACGTCTGCGAGCCTCTCTAGCACGCTCTGCCATGCTCTCGGCCGGCATAGGTCTGGCAAAGACCTCTGGTCTGGTCCGGTCAAGCGAAACAAATCCAATGAATCAGCAATAAGATCAATAAGTTGGAAAAACCCTGCCTGAAGGCAAGACCGGTCACCGCGGAACGGTAGAGATTTGCCCCATTTGCCGTACCGCAGCGCCATATCCTCAGGAGCACTACTCGTTCACTCTGTTTTCAGTGTCAGATCGTTGGAGCAACACAGGCAAAGACCGAAACCTTTCCGCGCTGGACGGATTCTACTATCCTTGGATCCACGAAGCGCATGATGAAACATGTTTGTTCCCTCGGCGGTTCTTTTCACAAAGTTTTGTTGGCCTTGTTTAAAGCTAAGGTAGCAAAGAATCATCTGTGTAATCTTTATCGATCCTTAAAATCCAGTCCCACTGGCACGCGCAGTTGCATTTCTCAGCTCCCGCCCAACACATCCCATTGATGGTATCCCCATAAACCAACTCATCCGTCCACTCGATCCGCTCCGTCCACTCTGTCCTCCATCGGGAGCTTCGTGGCAGGGCCTCCACCGGCCTCTGCCAGGGCTGCGGCGGTGCAGAGGAGCAATTCGCTGTGACCAGTGACCTGCCCAGGAGCCACGCCCCACAAGCCGCCGCCACACATCTCCAGGGCCTCGAAGTGCGCGAACGTGAAAAAGAAAAGTGTTCCCCAAACAGTAAACAGTGCGGTAGCACTAGGGGCTCTTACAGTAGTCGTATGGACGGGGGTCTGATCGAGGTGCTCATCGTCGTGCGCGGCGATTTCGCTGCTATTTACCTTACACTCATTCACCTCGCATCTCCGTCACAATCACCAACACCATCACTACCACCATCAGCATCATCTTCACCACCATCATCATCATCATCACCACCACGACCACCACCTTCATCACCACCTTCATCACCACCTTCATCACCACCTTCA